TGCAACACCAGGAGCTGATGTCAATGCTGCCTGCTGCTCGCTCTATAGCAGTCTGTTATTATGGAAACTCAGCTTTCTTCATTTTACCTGCACAGCTCCCTCCACCTTTCCTTCAAAGTTTGACTTTTTCCTCTTCTTTCATTAATCCTTTGGTCCTTCAGCCTTTTTAGTTCATTTACTTATCTGATGTGCCACACTGCTGCCTGTGAGCTCCTGAATGCAAGCACTAGAGAGCTTTGATTTTTCTTTCTCTCTGCAATATGTAGTAGATCTATTTTACCTATGTGAATGCAATTGTCCATGATCATGACTGAAAAGTGACTGATGAGGATTCCTGAGTCCATGGCTGTTGCTGAGAAAATGGTGACCATGGCAGTAACAGCAACAGGAAGGAGAAGAACATGGAGGAAGCCTGGCTATGGCACTATTTAGTTTGGTGAACACAGGCAAGACCTTGAAATTCTTCAGGCTTGAGTTTAAGCATTTAGAAAATGAAAGTCCTGCTTTGATATGGCCCAAAAGGTTCCCTCTAGACCAGTGGGAGTGGTACTACTGGGAAGGAGAATTAATTTGGAGACAAATATTCATAACTTCATTTTGCATTTGTCTAAGCACACTGATCTTTGGCATGCTTTCCTTTTTACCTTTGTTCGACTTTCTCATTTTCACTTTCTTCTGAGTAACATTGTGAATCCAAAAAGGAGATAGAATTGATTCTTCTCCAAGGTCGCATCTTCGAGAACATACAAAGCCTTGAAGTCATGGATTACTGTAGGCTTCTGTGCAACGTTTCTCCAGCATCGCTTGCTACCCTGGCATCATTATATACTCCCCCCAGTATATTTCACAGTATCGTGACATCTTCACAAATGTCAGCTTCAAAGTCTAGAGAGAAACCTTATTTTCCCCTCTTGCCACATCTCCTCATAATCAGAAACTTCTGTCAACTTTCTCTTTCTGAAGAATATACTTCTACCTTTCTTTTGCCCTTCACTTGGTTCTTCTTTAGTTAAACAGCTTCCCTCTTTGCCTTTGTACAGGGTTGGAGTGTTAACAGTTCTAGCACTGAAAAGATAGTGTGGCCATATCTTTCCTTTCTTTTGCTTTCTTGAGTCACCTAGGCAAGCAGTGTTGGCCTTTCTTGCTCCTGTCTCTACTATAGTAAGTAGATTAGGAAGAAATTGACCCAAGTAGGTTTTTGTTTTAGCTTCTCTATCAGTGGCTGCACAAATAAATCAGTACTTCACCCCTGTTATTTAGGGGACTTTAATTTAGTGAGAGAGGTGGCAAGAGGTATCTGTCATAGCCTCAGACATCAGACCATCTAAACTATCATTGCATTTTATTGTTTCCATTGAGTGTACGTTGATTACAGTTTATTTCCTTGTTTCACTCCTTCCTATCTGAATTGGAAACTACAGTAAATAAGTGACACCAGAGCTCTTTGAACATCATATCACAGTCATTAATGATTTCCTATCTGCTTCCTTTGCAGTCAGTAGGAAAGTGCAGTTATCAAAGAGGAAGGCTGTCCTGGCATTATAGGAAGTCATTTACATAGCTCAGTTGCTATCAGCTAGCAATTGATCTATAATTTGTGTTTCCTGGAAACTCAAGCTAACTGTGTATCATGATAATCCCACCATTTTAGCTAAAATGCTGACTTTGGTACTTTTTTCAGCCAAATGAATACTTTGACTTTTCAGTATGAAATTTATCATAATGAGTTCCCCTCAAACAGGGCTGTAGTCTATTTAACAATTGAGGTGAGTTTTTAAAATAGCATTTCTTTATGTGGTGGGGGTGGGTATGCATGTGTGAAGGTCAGTAGACAACTTGTGGGAGTCAGTTCTCTCTTTTCCACCATGGTATTGAACTCGGGTGGTCAGGCTTGATAGCAAGTACCTGCACCTACTAAGTAGTCGCTCTGGTCCTTTTTTGTTTGTTTTATTTTTGTTTTGTTGTTGTTTGGGGACTTTGATTGTGTGCTTTAATTGCATTCTCGTCCTATCTGCTGTTTGAGAATGTAACTTTTAAATGCACAAGTCCTAAATTCTGACGTAATACTGAAAGATATTGATACTTTTTCTATAGTGACAAAAACACAGTCAAAATAGTTAAACCATTTGGGCGTATAGTTGCAATACTAGTTGACTTGTCAGAGAGAAATTTTAAATTTTAATTATTTCCAGGACCTTTCTTGTGAGATAGAACTGAGGAGCATTGCTTTATTCCAGGAGAATGTGTACTAGACACTGTGCAAAGTACAACAGAAATAGCAGCTAAAATGCCTGAACCCCACTCTGGAAGCACTCATAGTCCGTTGAGCAAAATATTACAATATACCAGCTTCAGAAACCACGTACTACATTCTCTTAGGCACTGGTGGGAGACAAAATGAAAATGACTGATTCATCCCAGGGAATCTTGGAAAATTTCACTGATTTTTGGCCTCTTCACATTAGTGAGCTGAACAACATTAAGTTACTTGGTAGAGGGTAGAGACTGAGCATCATAATTTCGCTGTTAGTTACAAGGGGAATTTAACAATGGTCCACATTGGGAAGTATGTATTACGTCGCTAAGTCCTTTATTGGCATTGGGCTTTCTTTACTGTGTAAGAAGAGCATTTTAACAGCTCTTTCTTTATCTTTCTGAGTCTAAAAAGAATATGTACAACCATTGGAATAAATGTAGTATATTCTAGGCAACCATAATTTGGGCTGAGGCCTTTTCATGTTTGATGTTACATTCATTTATTCTTTTTTACTCCTTCAGTTGTTCTGTGTTATGATTATATCTCCTATTTGTTGTTGCATTGGTCAGCAAGTGTTTAGTGGTAAAAAACACAAATCCATCCAAACTGGTTCAGATAACATGGGGTAGGGAGTATGGCAATGATATTTTGCATTTTGAAAGATCCACACAATGTATTTGTGTTTGGTGGGGATAGTGGGAATTGCTTTGACCAAGAGATTTTCTCAGTTTCCTTCCTGCTTTAATTTCCTCCCTATTAGAACAGCCTTCTATTTCCTGATCTTTCTCCTCTTCCTTTATAATTTCAACTTGCCTTGGTTATACTTTGTGTCCAGCTCCAGGCGAGTTTTCTGATTCATCATTGCCTTACCACTGTCTCCAAAGAAGTCCAGCAAAACCCTCTGTTAATTAGCTGTTCTTGAGTTAAAAGGCCATAGCCAGTCCAGTCAGCTACAATTTTTTTTTTTTTTAAGGGGAAGGGGAGTCATGTGTATTTTAGGGTTTTTCCTTCCTAAGATGACTCGGGACATTGGGAAGAATTGGCAAATTTCCATGATATTCTGCTATGCTATGATAGAGAGGTTGTCTGAGCTGTATAGTCTAAAGATGGCTTATATTTTCTTAGCATGAATATTGCTTTCCAGTAGCTAGGTAACAGTGTAGCTCCTTAATTGCCTACATCCAATATCTATCTCAAAATAAATTCCATTTATTGCATTCCCAACATTTCACAGATTAAACAGAGTTGTGACCATTAACCCAGCATATGGCTCCTTCCCTAGTCTCTTTGCTGTTGCCTTTTGCAGGCTGAGGTGTATGAGAATAGCAGTGAACTTGAAGTCACTTGATTAAGTTCGTTCTGTTAAATCCTTCAGTGACAATAATAAATCCCAGTTTCTTAGAGCCTCTACTTCCTGATATACAAAACAGAGCTGGTTCATGCCTCACCAGCATCCCTGGGATTTAAGAAGGGTGTGTGATAAGTACATTTTGGATAACTTTGAGTATACTAAAGCAGTGTATTAATTTAACTATTAGCAAATTGTGTTAGAAATGGACACATTGATTTTTTTTTTTTGTTGTTCTTTTGGTCTGGCCATTAACATGAGATACTTAAGGAATAACTCTTCTGATACCTGCTCACCCAAGTCAAGCCCTGACTTTAGGCAAAACTCATAAACACCAAGTTTCTGGTTCTCCAGTTTTGACTCTCAGGCAGTCACTAACCACTTAGAGTTCCTTGAAGGAAGATATGATGGAACGTAGTGAGGCTGAACTCTGTATCATCATGGTTCCTGTCTATTGTAGAGTTTTTATTTTTGAGCCTGAACTATTTTAATGGTAATGTATTAAGAAGGCTGTTATCTGGGTACTTCTCTTAGCTATGACGAGAGAAGGAAAAAACATGGATCACAAATGTGATTTAACTGAGAGTGATATTTACTTGAATGTAGAGGAGGAATAAAGAAAAGACCAGCTTTGTCAGCATACCAGGACACCTTCCCTTTCAGTCACTTACTTGAGTATGCAGTTGATAACCCTATTCTAGGATGGAGAATTCAGGAAAGGAGATTAGAGGTGCTTTTAGCGCTTTTCTTTTATTATTTTTCTGTGCTGTGGTGAGAATAATGGGAAAACATTCTCATATATGTTCTGTCTTTAAGAAAGAAGGTCATACACACACATACATGTATACACATATAGATATACATATGTACACACGTCCACCTCAGATATGTTATTTGAAGAGACACAACATGATGAAGTGTAAACACCATGACCTTTGAAGTTAGATATCGATTCAAAAGTCAAAACTCACACCAACCACTTTCTAATGGAAAGAACCATGGGAATTTACTTAACCTGTGAACTTCATATTTTTCTACCTATACAGTGTAGGTAAGAAGGCTTAGTATACACGTACTCGTTCAGTAAATGGTGACTATAGTTTGAATTATATAGGCTTCCAGTAGTCCTGGCACTGAGACATTTCTTGACCAGGTAGCAGCAGCAGAATGGTAGCTGCAGAGGAGATTTAAGTTAGACAATAGGAAGACTTCTGTAAAACTATGGTCAGTCCAGGAGGGTGCTCACAACCCTGTGCTACATTGTGGCACTCATTGAATCACAGTCTGTGAACTCTGGGGAAAGAGAACTCTATCATATCAGGGCCTACCAGACAGAATGCATGAAAGGAAGTTTAGGTAAGGAATTAAAATTTAAAACTCTGTGATTTGTTTTAGGTGGTCCAGGGAATGTTTAACATGGATTCAAGCTTTGAGTATAGACTGCAGAACAGAGTTTAAAGAAGTCTTATTAATCCCCTGATGAATAAACAGGTACCCTGCAAAGTAGATTGTCTCCTTGATTTTGCTACTAGTCATGAAAGTCTCAGAAGGTAGGTGGGATTATTTAAGAAGCTAAATGATTTTTTGCCAGTCACCTGGTTGTTAAGGCTAAGATTCAACCCTGTTCTCTTAGAGTACATTTCCCATGTTTTCCTACTGTGTCTCCCTGCCATCAGATCTTAGAGCTCACTCAGTCTAGTAATCTTCAGTTCAGGTCCCCAGATCACAATACCATTCGTGGAAATATAAAGTATATGATATATTTTCAGTAATCCAATAATTTTAATGGGAAATCTTAACATTTGGCTGCAACAAGTTTATACCAGTAATAAAAATTTCTTTGTTTAGGGTAGAGTTAATATAAATATTCTCCTCTTATCATCTAATAAAATTAATTCTTAGAAGGAAACCATTTGTTACAAGACTTAATGCCCATTGCTCTTTTGGGGGGGGGGGGCAGTATGCTACATAAACTTGTGTTCTTTTAAAAAATAATCTAATACTACTTTCAAATTCTGAAGTCCATTGAGTAAATGAGGGCCCTAATTATGAAAAGATGATGAAATAAGGACTGCAGAGATGTCTCAGCAGTTAAGAATGCTTGCTGTTCTTCCAGAGAACCAGACTGGTTCACAGACCCATATTGGGCTTCTAACAGCCACCTATAGCTGCAGCTCCAGAGGATCCAACTCCCTGTTTTGGCCTTTGCAGGCACTCATGTGTACACACCACACCACACACACCACACAACACACACACACACACACACACACACACACACACACACACACACGTATACACATAAAGAAATAAAACCTCTTTTCAAAAATATTATTGAAAAAATTGAATCCAAAACTACGAAGTGGTAAGTCATCATTCAAGATGTCTTTTATCTAGTTTGTGTAGTTTCAAAATTTCTGATCAGCATTTACAATCCAAAAAGTTCATATTCAAGAACACATTTTCCAGCTTCTTTTGAAAAAGTTTTGGCAACACTGAATGAACATTTCTTCATGGTAGTAGCCAGTTGAAGCTAAGCTGTTGCTTTAAATGGGGTGTATGCTTTTCAGTACACCACAACCTTCCCCGGGTCATTTAGTTGTGGCACCTGCCAGGCCTCAAAAACATTGAGTCGATGTTACAGGAACTAGGCCAGCCTCCTCTTATCAAGTGACTGCAAGGGAAAGCCCATTTCCCTGACTGTGCTCACTCTTACCTTCTGTACTCACTGACCCTCTGGAGTTTTGTGCCTTGGTCCTTTTCTTAAGTGTTATTTTGGGTTTTTCATGTAAGCCTGTCTTTTTTATTCTGCCATGTCTTTTAAAACAGAAGTCACAGTCTCATGAATCAATTCAACAAATACTATTGACATTGTTTGGGGGGAGCCAAACAATGAGTACAAAGAGTACAGTTGTCTCTCCCACCCTAAGGAAGGTCATAGTCCAGCCTTTCTTCTTAAAACTTTTATTTTTATGAGTGTTTTGCCTACATATCTGTAAGTGTGCCACATGCATGCAGTGCCTATGGAGGGCAGAAGAGGGTGATGGATCCCCTGGAACTAGAGTTTCTGATGGTTGTTGGCTGGCATGTGAGTGTTGGGAACTGAATCTGGGTCCTCTGCAAGAGCAGAAAGTGCTCTTAACCACTGAACCATTTCTCTAGCCACAGTAATATCTAGATAGGTACCAAGTGCATATTCAGAACCTACTTACTACATTATAGTCACTAACAGCTTAGGGTTTGACATCACAAAGAATTAAGTTGAGAATGTTGATACATGCCTATATCATTGCATTCCTGAAGACTCAGATAGGAGAGTTGCAAATTTGAGGCCAGCTTTCGCTAGATAACAAAACTCTGAAAAATCAGAGACAGAGACAAGCAGATACCCCAACACTTGTTAAGTAGAAGACTGTTTATGTAAACTCTAAAGCTTCAGATCTCTTACTTTGTAAAATGGAGATATTTTTAGTGATTTTGGGATGAAATGAAGATGGAAGGACAATAAAGGACTAGGTTACATAAAATGGATATTCAATAACGGCATAGTATCTAGTTGCTATTATCACTAAGGGCTGCACAAGTAGTTGGTATTTAATTTAATTGGTGCTTATCAGTGAATAAGTGAATCAACAGAATGAATTGAATGGAAGGCATTAGATTTGTTCTCACATAAAACTTTGACAACTGTGTTTCCAGCAGGTCTTGTGGCTTTGAATGTACTGGTTTTAATGAGACCAGAGGACTCATGTTATGGCAATATCATTACCCAAAATTTTTTAAAACAGATACATCTTCTTTCCTTTATGGGAAAGTGTGGTTGAGAAGTGAGGAATAAATCTCTAATGCTTTGTAGGATAGACTTCTGCTCAGAATTTTGAGAATGTACTCAGGACTTCAAAATTGGCCTATAGGTTCAACTCCCTGATACAGCAGCTTGAGATTATTGCCCTGAAGAATCAAGGCAGTTGCTAAGGGGACTGAGATAAATTGAAACATTTGACCACTGTTCTTGGGTTCCTGTATTGTTTCCTCTTTTTATAGCCTTAAGGGACAAGCAGAATCGGCTAACTCCGTTTGCTGGTTTGAATGAGAATGTCCCCCATAGGCTCCAAGTATTTGGAAATTTTGTCCCCAGTTGGTGGCTCTGTTTTGGGAGGTCTTAGAAGTTATGGCCATGCTGGAGGAAGCATATCACTAGGGTAGGCTAAGAGAGTTCCTAAGCCTTCCTGAATCTCCAGTTAGCTCTGTGCTTCCTGTGCCTGCTTGAAGATGTGAGCCCTGCGTAGCTTTCTCCTGCCACCATGGCTCCCCACCATGACAGACTCTTAATTCCTCTGGAACAGAAAGCTCAAATAAATTCTTCCTTTTATAAGTTCCCTTGGTCACAGTGTTTTATCACAGAAGCATAACTGATATACTCCATGCTGTCACTGTTTTGTTTCATTGCACACTGATCACCTGGACCAGTTTACCATACAGATAATGAAACTAAAGCTCGGAGAAATAAAGGAAGATGCTCCAGTTCTCATACATACGAGTGGTTAGACCAGGAATCTGGCTTTTTCCCCAATTCCATATAGCCTCCCAAAGCCAACCTCATTGCCCATAGGCATGCACTGAGCTTATCAACCCTATCCTTCACCCCCTAAAGGAGACCAAGATTAGCAGAGTGGATATGCTAAGAATACACACTGTTAGAACTCTAAACACACCCCTCAATACCCAGATACAAGGTAAAAATATCATGTAGGATCTCTTCTCTGGTATAATTTCATTCTTGTGGGGAAAATTCGACAAAAAATCTAACAAGGCTGGACATAGTGATACATATCCAGATCCCAGGACTCGGGATATGGAAACATGAAGATTGAGATGGGGCCAGCCTGGACTGCATAGTGACACCCTATCTGAAAAAAAAAAAGTAAAACAGAACAAAAAACTAATAAGCCACTAAATGAACAAAATAATTTCAGAAAGCAGTGTTACATGGAAAATAAAACAAAGGAAATCATTCTAGAAAGGGACTTGGGAGAGAAAGTTACAGTAGATTAGGTGTGAAAAGTTCTCCAAGGAGCTAAGGAGTTATCCTTGGGCTCAAAGCTGACTGAACAGAGCAAGCCAAGCCAAAATGGGCATAGGAAGTAGAAGCAGCACTACTGAGAAAGACACAGAAGTTCATCCTGTATCAGACCACTTCATGTTTTAGACGTCTTTCTTTTTTGATGAAACATGTTTAACTGTGGATCATGTTTTTAATTTATAATCTAAATGTCAGTACAGTCATATATCATTCAGCAACAGGAAATGTGTCATTAAATGATTTAACCATGTATGAACATCATAGAATGTACTACACAAAAGCAACTATGACATCATTAAGTGATTAACATTAATGGGACCCATCTGTATATATTTGATTCATCATTGACCAGAATGTCACCATGCATATAAATCTGTGTTGCATCACTTGGCTTTATTATTTTCTTGAGTATTTTGGAAGGAGGACTAATAATCTTACTTTAAGAAGACTGCATCCATATCAAGTGGCTGACAACTGCCTGTAACTCCAGCTCCAGAGATATCTGATGCCTTTGGCCTCCATGGGCACCTGTAGTCATATGCATATATCCACAGACAGACACATACACATAACTAAGAATAAATCTTTTATTTTAAAAGCCTGTGATCTATATGAGTCCCACAGATAAGCTGGCTTATGAGCAAGAAATTACAAGAGTTTACATCTATTTTCTGGCAGAGAAGCACATACCTTAGGCTCAGCCTGAGTTGTTGCTCACTGCAGCAGGAATAGTCAGGACCTAGATAAGCTTGGCAACGGGAAACCTCCAGAGCCCCAGTCACCAATATGGAACTCAGATACCTTAAAAGGGAACTCCTAAATGATGTGAACATTTGTTTTGATGCCAAATCAAATTATTCCCAAGATACCTGTAGTAAGCACAAAATAAGAAAGAAGGAAAACAAACATTTTTAAATAGAAGAGAAGGAAGTAAAATTATTTTGTGTAGATAAGAATAGGCTAAATATATGGCATGAAGTAATTTGGGGAACAGAAATATGGGAGTGTTATGAACTCTAACCTGGATCAAGTAGAATAATTGTTAAAATGATTTTTTAAATTATTTTCTACACCTATGTTTTTTCCAACCTAGAGATAAGACTGTGGAAACTGCAGTATTTTTTTAAAGAATACCTTAAAATACATTGAAAATGAGAGCTGAAGGGATGAAGCAGTTGGTAAAGTGTTTGCCTTCAGGAGAACCTGAGGTTAATCCCCAGAACCCATGTGGAAATGCCAGATACAGTGGTAGCTTGTAATTTCAGTGCTGGAAAGGTAGAGACAAGCAGGTTCCTTCCTCCCACTCAGAGGCCAGATAGCCTAGCCTACCCTGCCGTACCCTGCCCTGCCCCACTTGACCACCTTCCTGCCAGTGCAAAATCTGTCTCAAAACAAATGGAAGATACCT